GAGCTATTTATGAAGCCCAGTAATTAAAAAAAAACATGATATCCTTAGTTTTGCATAAACGAAAACATTTTTAAACAAATATGATAATGAAAAAATACTTTTTTACTACACAAAATACAAATTTTTTTATTTAAAAAGTTTCTGCATCTTTTGCTCAAATTTTTGATGATAATTTCCTACTTAATATTTTGATGAGCTACATTAGAGTGTCAATTTGCAGCAACTGGTTTTTACAAATGATTCAACAGTTTTGGCGTATTTAATTTATTGACCAAAAACAATCAAAACTGACCCAGTTTTGATCATAGTTTATGGTCCAAATATCACCAAAACTATAAAAGTTAGGTCTCATAAATTTTCTGCAAATGTTTTTTTGTTCACCAATGCTCTTATGTCAACCTAATCTGAAAAAAAAATTGATCAAAAAGCTTCAATTTTAGTTCGTTTCGCCAAAATAGTTTAAAATAATTCTGTGGTTTACGTACTTATTTGCCACAGAAATTTAAAATCAAACTCGAACTTAATTTCGTTGAGAAATTGAAATGAATAATGACAAAAACTTACGCAGTTGCGTCGAAAAAATAATTTTTTGCAAACTTTTTTTGGCTCACTTTTTAATATAATTTTATTTCAGCCAATTTGACTGCTTTCAGCTTGCTTATGCTAAAGGTAAAACCTAAAACTTTCAAGTCAACATTATATAATTTTCTCAAACATTTTCATTGTGACTTACTCGCAAAAACAATTCTGTAACCAGCCAGGGAACTTCGAACCGTCATTTTCGCTTGCATCAGTCCACTTTGAATGTTTATTTTTGCACTTTGAATGTTTTTTAATAATTTCTGTAAAATTGTTTGTTTGTAATCAACGGATAAAAAAACTTTTGTGAATGAAAAGTGTATAGAAAAGTGTTTAGCGCCATTCATTCAAATTATTTTCTACTATTATTTTTGTCGTATTAAAGTGTTAATTTAAATTATCACACGAAAAATACTACATTTTCAAACGCGTTTTTCTCAAATTTGGTTAAACTTAGACCCAAAATCAAGAAAAAAATTGCTTAGAACTTCAACAAAATTTTGTTGCAAAAATGGGTCATTTTGGCTCGCATTGTTATTAATGAAGAAATGCGCAGAAAGTATCAAGTTAAATGATGAGAAAGTTATATCAAAAGAAGCCGCTTACACAGCTAACAAATTTCTAGAAAGATGAAACTTCTGAAAACTTCTGAAATAAGAGAATATATTTTAGGTTTATTGATTATTTTTACTTTATAAAAATCAAAATTTTTGCCTAAAAACCCATTTCAACCGTTTTACGCTTTTTTGGAAACTTTACGATCTAGAACATTGTTGGGCTGTGTAAGAGGCTTTTTATATGATTTTTTTCTTAAATAGCTGGATAATTTCAACGTAATTTTTGATTAAATAAAAAAAAACAAATGACCCTTTTTTGGGTAAAATTTTTGTTAAGAAGTTTGGGGGAATATGCACCATATTAATTCTGGTAAAAATCTAATCAATATTTGTCTTCTTTACTTTTTGATCTTCACCCAGCTTGGGAAAAACTAGTTTGAAATTTCAAAGGTTGTTTGCTGTATCCGGTTAATTTAAATCAGCACTACTACTTGAGATCTTAAAATTTGTTGGGCATTTCGATTTATGCTGTTTTCCTGTGAGACTGAAAATGGCGCATTTTTTTCCATTTGAGAAATAAAAAAGTTGGTTTTTTGTGTATCAGTTTTAATTCTGTTCGCCCTTAAGTTATTTTTGAAAATTGATATTCTAAAAATCAGTCATCCATATTCGTTGGAGAATCTGGCTCATGATTTCAAAATTTTCAAACTGTTTTCAAGGTGCTTATAAACATGTCTCAATGCCTATTGAGCGATCTCCTTCTCCTCTCTCCCACAAAGAATGGGAGAGTGCTATTGATCCACAGATTGCTATCCAATGGAATGACTGAACTCCCAAACATTCCACCGCCTGAAAAAAATCTATGACTTTTTCGACAGTTATTCCGAAACAGGTGGACATCAAATGCTAGTCATACAATTTCGATAAATTTCATATTCTTAAGTTCAGAATATGAAATATATCGCAACTGTATGACTAGCATTTTTTTGCCCAGCTGGTTCAGAATAGCTGTTGGTCGGCAAGTTTTATAACCTTATGCGACACAAATTCATTTGGACAATTGGCTTAATATTCTTATACATTCGAAAGTCAGACCTCTCATCCCTTGATTAATTATTTGGGATATTTAGATTTCAATAAACTCAAATATGCCACTTTATTTATTTTGCATGATTTTTATTTAATTTTAGCAGCACGATTCAGAATTAGAAAAGTCGCTTCTGGACTCGGGGTCAAAAACTTCAGCCAGTGGTAAGTCTCTTTTTTGGGCTTTAATTCAACAAGAACCTTACCAAAAAAAACTATTGTAGAATTTTTATACCTGTATCAAAAGTTTGCAGATAAACAGAAAGTGGTTCAGTGCAAACGCTCCGGGTTAAATTTTTCAAGAAAACATGAAATATTGATATATTAAAACCAAATTTTATTATGAACACCTTGGGATTTTACTAATCATAATTTAGAAATGGAAGATAATAATGAGCAAGCTGGTACCAGTGAGTCCGAAACCTTTGACGAAAACGCAGACCTGGTCGCAGAAAAGCAGGACGAATTGGCTTCTACCGCCAATGATGACGAAAACGGACACCGAGTAGATGAACCACAAAACGATCGACCTACTTTGGAAACTGAGGGGCATCAAAAAATTGAAGGTATTGAATATGATTCGGAAACTAAAAGTCCGGATCAGAATAATGAAATTAAAAATAATAAATTAAGTTGTAGACAGGAAACAACGACGCCCGTTAGAAAAATCGTCAATGAAACTAGTTCTATTCCAGATCAACCAGAGTCACTTGGAGTGCCGACAACAGAGGTAGACCGGAAGAGTTATCAAACTGACACATCGACAGCAAAAGATTCCGACTCCGAAAATGAGAAAGCAAACAGTGATGAAAAAGGCGGATCTCAAGAGATGATCCAAAACGATAATGACCTTCAACCAACAGAAGAAATACCAACAGAGACGGAAACAAACGAAACTGAAACAAATGAGAATGACGCTCTTGATAATACTTCAGAAAAACCTAGCGAAGCAGAACCCTCAGCAAACGCTTCTGAAGAGCCAGTAAAGAATAATGATAAAGATACGGACTCTTCGCTTCCAGAAGAAAACTCACAGGAAACCAGTGAGAGCAAACTTGATAACGAACCAAATATCGAGTTAGAAACTACACCTTCCATATCTGTGGAGCCTGCAACACATGAAAATTCGGAGGTGGACGAACCACATTTTGAAGAACCTCCGAAAAACACGAATGAAGAAGAAAGATCAGACGATGATACAGGGGATGCTTCTCCTTCAGAACCGTCAGCTAATGATGATAGGCAGCAGAAAACAATTAACGAAGGTTCCCTTCAAGATTCGGAAGAAGATCAACCAGTCGAAGATGTAAGACAGGACTCCGAATCCTTGGATCCGAAACCACCGCTTCAGGTGGAGCCAACTCTCGATGCTTCTGATGGAGACGCTACTATAAACTATGCAAATCAAATAGATTATCCCACAGAAGACGAAGAGGAGAAGCAACCGGGTACTACAAAAATCGAATCAGAAAACGGAGATCCAGAGTCAACAGAAAATGAAGTTGTGAATGATGAATTCCAAACTTTAGAAAACAATCAATCAGAATCGGACAAAAAAATAGAAGACAACAAATCAGAATCAGCATCGGACGAAAAATTAGAAGACAACAAATCAGAATTGGACGAAAAAATTGAAGACAGCAAATCAGAATCAGAATTGGAAAAGCTAGAAGACAACAAATCAGAATTGGACAAAAAATTGGATGAAAATGAACAAACATTATTGCATCCTGAAATCGATGCCGAGGTTGAGCCCAAAGTTGATGATGATCCAAATCAACTAAAAGAAGCTGATAGCGAAACCGAATATGATAGTAACAATGCTGAAGCAAAAGTAGACTCCGAACCAGAGGGAAGTTATGCTCCAAATCAATACAGTGAGAGGCAAGATTCCGTTTCAGATGAATTGGATCGTAAAGGCAACGAAAACACAGAAAATGATCAACTAGAAGTAAATGCTGCAACTGAAAACTCAGAGCAGCAGAAAGATGAAACAAATTACGAACCTTCTGATGAGCCGACAAATGAAACAACCAACGAGTCAGAAACAGAAAATACGAGAGAACAAGAGAGTCTTGCAGAAAGCCAGTCCAAACAGGAAAATGACTCCAGCGGGGAGAATTGGGAAACAAAACCGAGCCCAACGGAAGCATCAAAAGTTAGCGAAATGCCAGAACTGGAGCCGAATGATGCCAACTTCGGCAACGAAAATGAAAATTTCACAGATAAACGAGAAGACGATGAAGAAGGTCGTAAAGCAGGAGAAGTATGTACGACAGTTCTAGAAGAACAAAGAGAAGACCCGAGCTATGAAGGGCAAGATTTTGACGATGAAGTAGTAGCAACGGAATCGCACGTCATAGAATCTGCTCCATCAATGGAACAAGATTCTGCAAATGATGATGAGGAGCAATCGATACACAATGACTTCGTTCAAAAAGATGATGAGATAGCTGATGATGATAATAGCAGCATTCAGGTTACAGTTGACAATGATGAAAAACCAAATGTTGGAAACGATCATGAAGGCGATTCAACCAAAAATTTATCATCGCAAGTTACTGATGAAACTCCTGAAGACTTTGCCGATGATGCAACCTCGAATTCTGATGTCAACAAACAGATGATTGAGGAGGCCAGTGGCATTTCTGAACCAAATTTCGCAAAAACTGATGATGAAAACGACAATAGGGCAACTAATGAAGAGAAAGACGTGAAAGCTGCAGAAGAGATGAGACCTGAGAATACTTGGCAAGAAACCGAGGCAAGTGGAAATTTCGTTTCCCAAAAAGAAATTGATTGTTCAGAAGAAGAAAAGCAACACGTAGAAACCGAGTCAGCATCAGTAATTTCTGAGGCGCCAGAAGATGCAGAAGAGCAACGTGGGAATTTGCAAGAGAAGGCTCCAGAAATTGAGAAACCGTTAGAGGAGTTCGAAGAAAAACAAGAAGCGAAATCTGTGGAACCAGTAGAATCGGCTCTCAGCTTCTCCGAACACGAAAGTATGGTTGCAGAAAAATCAGTAGAAGTTGCACTTGAAAACCAAAAAGAGGTTGAGAGCGAACCAGACAAAGTCGAATTAAGTTCCAGTCTCGCTAAGGAGTCAACTCCAAGTTTGCCGACCAATCTAGAAACTCCTCCAGCAGCTGCATCGGAATCAACACACGATGAAAACGTCGCTGAAACCCCAAATGAAGCTCCGAATGATATTTCAATTGAGGCCACAGCTGAAGTCAAAAGCGAGGAAAACATTGAAAAGTCTCCCGATTCTGAAAGAAAAGTTGAAGACCAGCAGTCGGTTTCTGGTCAAATTGACCAAACAGCGATAGAAAAAACGACTGAGGCAGATCAGGATAGAAAAGACGCTGATGCTGAAGCAACAAAACAAGAAGAGAAGTCATTCGATTCAAATTTAGTCCCTGACTCAAATGAATCGAAAAAAGTTGATGCAGAGCCACTTGAAGAAGAAGCAGAACAATTATCAACTGGACAAAAGGAAAAGGAAACGCCCAAGGAGTCAACTGATGAAAAAGTTGAAGAGAGCAAGAAAGAAGATTTGTCAGACATCATTGACAAACTGTCAAAAGAATTAGACAAAAACAAGCGGGACCAAATTGAAGTTTCAGCAAGTGAGAGGGCAAAAGCTAGACATCTTTCAGCACATGCAAAAGCAGGAGACATTTTATCGCATGAAGTAGCTTCTGAGAGCGAACAGGAAGGCGAGGTGATCTTGAGGCACCCGGTCAACCGAGGTCGTCCTATGTCGTCAACAATACACCGCTACATCAAAGGGGTCAGTCCTAAGCCATACAGACGAGACACAATAACTCCTTTGCCCTCAGATGCTCACATAGAAGAGCTGAAAAGAAACGGAAGTCTGAGACCCAGACCGATGTCTATGGGTGGTATGAGAGTGCGACCTAGATCTGAGATTGAGAAAGATCTGCACAAGAAACGCTCTCAGTACTTCGGACTTTCAAAGCAAGATCAAATTTACCTGCTAAATACTTCAGTTATATACCAAGACTTCAATAGCGATAAAAACAAATCATTTTTGGACTCGATGCCCATAGATCATGTGGAAAGTAACGGTTACCAATATTCGCAAGCTTCGGTCATTCAACCGAAGAACGAAACGGCAGAATCTCAATCGACAATAACGAACAATAATCGCAAAAGCGACCATACCATAAAGGGTGACGAAGAAACAGATGATGTTGAGGAAATTGTTCAAAACCCAAAAGAGCTCTCGTTTGTTCAATCCGTTCCAATGAACTTTGAATTTAGCTCAGCTGACGAAACTGATCAACCAAAAGAACCCCAGAAAACCAAAAGTTCAAAGCCAGAGCCAATTGATGAAACACTCCCGCGGAGAAAGCCGAAAGCTACTCGCAATTCGGCAGTTAATGACGAGAAACCAGAGCGACAGAGATCCCGCTCACTTGCTGACAGACTCAGACGACTAATTACATGTTCATCCACAGCATCGAGTACATAAATTCGAAAAATTTAGAAAGACATCAAAAATAGGACAATTGATTAGAAAAATTTTGCTTTTAATTTAATAATGCCTGACTGTTTAGCTTTGATTAAAATTAAATTCTCCAAATTTCAAAAAAAATACAAAGATGGTTTCTATATTTAAATGAACAACTTTTTTCTCAATGAAAGAGTAAACATTCTTGCGAGATATTTTTGGAATTTGTTCATGTTCTTCGCACAACAAAAACATCTTTCAGATCAGCTTTATATTTGAATTGAGTCAGCTCAAAAAATTGACCAACTCAATGTAGAAACGAACAAATAGGTCTCCTGCATATGTTGAGGTCCACGACTTTGAGCGGAATATCAATTTAGGCTAAAACTTGCAGATGCTCCACGATTCAAAGTCGCATCAAAAAGTCTCAATTTCATCATGTCGCTCGTTTAAGTCTTAATTTGGTCGTGCCAGAGTATTATCATAGGTCACATACCAATGCATAGGTTTGTAGTTCCCGAATGTTACCGTTACATATTAAGACAGCAACAAAGCAGATCTGAATCTTAGCACAAAACACAATTAGTTTTCCATGTTTTGAACTTAAATCAATGACCTCACAAAGTTTGCACTAATTGCGGTGTTCAAATTTTTGCAGATGACACAAACACAACTGAGTTAAATTTTTCTCCTGAACGTTTTCATCAGCATCTCTGCGCAAAAAAGAACTGGTTGAATGTTAATATTTACAGCTCATTATGGACAAGGTTGTTCAAATGAAATTATCAAATAAAAGTGCTTCCAATTTTGATTTTACGACGAGTAAAAACACTCAAACATGCTTCACCACGTACATATTTTCGCATTCCCCTAGATTCCCAACTTTCATTTACACCTCATAGAAAACGTAGTTTTAATTCTAAAATACGCCATAATCTTTCAAAATCAGTTCTACTGGTATGATATTGCTACAATTTTAAACCAATTTTGCAAAGAGAAAACTTGTTTATGATTACACGAGCCGCAGTTTTCTATTGCCTCGTTTTATGATTTGAAAAAAAAAATTATTAGGTTTTTTGTCAGAAAGCAATTTCTAATTTTTAGTGAAAAACTTAACTTCTCAAAAAATATATAAAGTGGAGATCTTAGTTTTGATTGAACTCGAAAATTTCCTTGATTAATTTTTACAGATTTAAAATTTTCTTGTAAAATTTGAAAAACTTGAAATTATCCTTAAAAAACTCAGTCCAAAAAGCAAGATACAACGAGCATCACATACTTGTCATGATATGTCTTGTTCATGTGTATCTTGAGTTTTGACCATCCGATTAAAAGTGTCTATGGGACAAAGATGACTGCAAATAAAAATATAAATGCGATGATAATTTTATCGCTCTATGCAGATCTTCTTTTCCTCGAGTTTCTGGTTTTGTAGCCTTTGTATTCGACTAGAGAGACACATTTCGATTTTTTCACTTGTTATTGTTGCATGGGCTCAGTTGTGTGTCTAATGATAATCTAGCCACCAATCAAATTTTTTTTTGATGTTACGGGGGATCCAGTTGATGAGGCAGAGTATTGAAGGTAGCAAATGCGGGGCCAATAAGTTGAAGTTTTGTTATTGAACGGGCTAGTAAGTGCCACGACTAGCGAGTTTTCAGAATTTTGAAATATCAAAAACCATTCATTAAAGCAGTAAATTAAAATGCAATCGTAATAGAGTCCACTAATTTAAAATAAACCCATTTTTAAAGACTTAAAAAAATCTGAACCATCAAAACCAAGCAAGTAAACGATCAAACTTTGTAAAAGTAATAGTAATTGAGGCAAAACTGAAGGATTGCAAAACTTAGACAGAGTAAAAAACTATGAAAGTCAAATGCTATATTTTAAGTTTAAGTAAGCATAACTCGAGGCTAGACTCGAATCAAACAAAAGAAGGTAGTTTACAAATAAAAATTATCCAGCCAGCTCTTTAGACAGACTATGCCATCAAAAAACTGAAATCTTAGATGTGAAAATTTTTAATTTCCAAAAAACTCTTTGACCTTTTCATGCCTTTTATTTTTTTGTGCATCGTTTTTCACCTTTTTTGTAAGATATTGCTTGCTTTGGAAAATATTTCAAAAAGAGTAAATCTTGATGTTTCGAACTGTTATTAAGGTTAAAATTGAGATTTATTCATCAAAAAATCGCGCTCCATTGCTTAGCACAAAAGCAGTAGTCCGATAAAAGATCTGAAGAAACAAATTCACACAAACAAAATCCAGCTTTTAGTGCAGCAACCAATTCTACGGCTGATTGACCAAGATGAGAAACAAAAAATATGATCTCAAACAAAAGCCAAAGATGCAAAACTTGCATACTCGTTCTAGACCAAAGGGCTTGATAGCAGCAAAAAAGCTAACAAGGTTTTACTCCAGACTGTTTTACCTGAAAACATTCAGATTAGATCTAGTTATAGTTCAAAACTTTTATTTGAATCAAGAGCTCGTTTGTATCTTCACTTACATGGTATTGACACGAGAAACAGCAGAAAGTTTAGTCAATAAATCCGATAAAAAAAAACTACTAGTAAACTAATACTTATCAACCGAATAAATATGTACCCAAAACAAACTTTGAGTTCCCACCAAAATTGATAAAATGTAGTGCCAAATGCATTTTTTTTTCAAGGTTTGAAAAATTGTGGTTTTTTTAGTTCAATTGCTGGCGCTGCAAACAGCTTTCAGAGCGGAGTTATTTTGATTCGAAGAGCAACTGAGACTACTTCGCTGAAGCCCTAAGAAAGCACACGCAGGTGGCAAAAAAATTCATTGCATATAGAAAAAACAAGCATAAAACTGAAAACACACAAGTTAAACTTGGTTGCTGGATAGCAACGCATGCAGCGACATCAAAGTGAAACCAGGAGCGAACGAGAAAAGAAAAGATAAGATTTGAGCCAATAATCTTGAAAATCCATGTTAGGTATTTTTGTTTACAATAATTTCAAAATTTAAGAAAAAATTAAATAAGATTGAAAAACATGCGACAAAATTATCAGCTAAAACAAAATCAGAATAAATATCAGCATTTCAAAACTGCGATCAACAATATCAAACGCGTTATATAAAAAACATAAATCTGGTAATCAAACATCAAGAAAGCGAGGCAGCCAATACACACGTTAAGTTCATTCAAACTTATATTTTTTAACATCTTTTCAAAAATTTTCAAAATTTACTTTACTTTTAATTTTCCAAATTTAAAATTAAGACCCTGCAAAATAATTTCAAAGACGGAGCAAAAAAACTGAATTTTTTCACGCTTTTGGTTTTTTCTTTTCAACTTCATCAGATAAAGGACAAAAAGTTTGACACATGGCTGATATTTTCTTTAAAAAGACTTGATCTTAGAAAAAATTTTCAAACTCCTAATTTTGGAGAACATATTTGGCCTGTCAATCAGCAGAAAAATAGTTCTTTTTTTCCTCAAATTATTTTAAAAAAATATACTTCATCAAAAATGACAGCAAATGTTATGATAACACCATATTTATGAGTCGACATTTGGGGGGGGGGACAAACAACGGGACTCATGTCTACTTTATAGTTTGCCCCATGACAATTTTTTATGTATTTTCAACTTTTTTAGGAATAAAAAACTAAAAATACTTTTTTGCATCAAAGTGTTTCGATATTCACTATTTGATAGGGGCGACGCCAGGCCATTTCGTTTTGAGTTCTAGGATCATCCAAGGAACCCGAATTCAAGAATAATTAACACTCGAATAAATCAAAAACAAGCAAACAAAACTTTCTTTAGAAAAACACTAAAACTTATTGCACGATAGCAATTTTTAGCTGTTTGATGATAGCTCAAGCCTATAACTCAGCGAGAAAACAAACAGAGTAAAATGCAGTAATTTCGAGCACATTTGAATCTTTTCAAACTCAAATCTTTCAAACTCAAAAATCAATTTCAAGAAAAAAAAACATTCAAATCAGATTGCCGTTGTTGTGCATATAACTTTGTAATATCTATTTTCAATCTTTTTTCAGTCATAGAATCTGAATGATCAGAAAAAATAAAGATATGCCTGAAAAAGTTCCAATGGTGAGCGACTCTAAATCAAAACCTCAAGATGTGTTTTTCAAAATTTCTCATACAAAAAGGTTCTTTGATGGTTTTGTTTTTAGAACATCTAGTGGTCCGCACAGAATTTTAAACAAAAAAATGTCATAAAAAGCCAACTCTGAATAAAGCAAGTTTTTCGAGCACAAATCAAATTTAATTAGATTTTATAAATGAAATAGTTTTATCGAAAAAAAAATCTTTTTGCCTCAATGTGTCATCAGATGCATTGCTTTGATTTCTGCAATTGCAAATTTGAAAATTTTTCTGCAGCAAAATAATTGGCTTCAAGGTAGAGAAATTCCATAAGTGAGGACTCCGTGAAAAAAAATTACTGAATCCTAGATTGTACAATATAGTATTTGAGAACATGTATCCTTGAGACTAAAAGTCTTAGTTTCGCTAATGAAATGATTTTCATTTTCAAGTTTCTGATTTCCCAGATGACAGTAAAAAAATAATGGACTTTTTTTATTCCTTAAGTACAAGCACGACGAAATCTCCGATTTCGCACTATTGTCATTTAAGAAAAAATCAAATAAATTAGCGCTGTGTTTAAAACACTTAGATCCTAGAGATATTTACAAGTTGAGGTTATGTTTGTCCTCATTTAATCAGGAAACTCGATGTAATTCTTCCTGATTTAAATTAGACGAAAATCAAATAATTTTAAATTTGTGCCAACAGCAAACATAAGTGCCTGTTTTGACAGCTCTGAGCTGAGGCAGTTCGTTTGTAGGTTAAAAAGAAAATTGGTCCTCATTTATACCACTGCAGTACACCAAACTCATTTTTAAGTCATCAAACATAGGATCAACTATTTTGGAACACTTTAAACAATCTGACAAGTAGCTTCTGAACTAACTATTTGAGTTCATAAGTATACTATATATTTGAGATAATTTAGGAGCAGCTCAAAGTCAATAGAAGTTTGTTTGATCAAGGAAAAAACTTGTTATTGTTCCGACTTTCGATACGAAAGTAACGGAATATTTGTGCTCGGGGTGGGTTTTTTTTTCTTCAGACAAATTT